AAATTTCGTGTGTTCTTTAATTGTTCTTCGTGTTTGTGAGTTAAATTCCTAACAAGCAGGTCACCCGCTGACGTGGCACACATGTGGTAGCCCAAGTAGCAGCAACTTTGATGACGTGGCGCACATGTGGACCGCCGTCAGCGGATGGCCTGCTGGCATGGCAAGTAACATGCAAATTGACTCAATTGAACGTTTTTATAAAGTTCGAGGATTTGATTAATTTTTAAAAAAGTACGAGAACCTAATTGACTTTTTCATGATAATACGAGGACGAATTTGATAGTTTTCCCTTACTTAAAAGTAAAGCAGTTTAAAGTCAAAAGTTATAAGTAGGGGAGAGTACTTTTAAGAGATATTTACTTTTTCTGAGTATTACACAAGAAAAATCTCATCTGGCAAAAAAAAAGGAAAAAAAAATCTCACAAAGGACTCTTATTTTTTCTAATAGAAGAAATTGGTTGGAGAGCGCAGGATTGCAAAGGTCCAGTTCATGAGCATCAGTTGAGTTATTTGAAGTAGATGTCAAGTGTGTTTGAGATGGTTTGTTGGGGTTGATTAAGGAAGGTTTGAAATCTGACAAGGATATCCAATAGTCTAATAATTAACAACGTTCAAAAGAATGGCCTTGAAAACCACACTGAGAGAGAAAATTCCAATAAATTGTTTCTTTGGATGATTTGATTTGGCAATGAAAGCAGTAGATTCCCCCCGGTTTCGGTAAATCATGAGCAGAGGTTGCGCTTTGCACTCCTCCTGATATCGGTGTTCTAAACAGACCGGCTGTTGTGTCGCCCCCTGCGTTCATCACCACTTCTGCTATCCTCTCATCTTTAATTTCACTTGGCTGTTTCCCGTTGAATGTACCCTGAGACAAATGAAAAGCTCCTTCAGGAGCTAATCCAAATCCGTTTTCGCTATTGAGACGAAGAATTTGCTCTTTAGTATTTCCGTCTCCACCATTAAGTTCTTCACAAGAATGTCCATTAAGTTCTCTCCGCAATTCAAGAGAGGCGGAGTGAAGGCGAGATGCTGCGTGTTTTGATATACTAATATTCTATTGAATTCTATTGAATAATCTACTCCAATATTAAAGCAGAAGATTCAATATTGGAGGATGTAGCATTAGATTGAGGTTGAGTAATACAAATATGTTTAGAAAACATTGTTATAAAATATAAATTCAAGAGGATTTTGTAAAGAACGTTGAATTTTTCTTGAGGAAGAAGAGAATAGACCGTAGACGCATATGGAATAGAAGTACACATCAAAAATTGACTTCTTAAGAGGTGTTTGGAACTAATTCTGCTTCTGTTTCTTTTTTAAAAGAAGTAGAATGAGAATCAGTTTTTGAGAAACTGTTCACCCCCGGCCCGACTTCTAAAAACTGATTCTAGGAGCAATATTGAGTCATCAGAAGTCCTTCTGCATTTGCACCCAAACGCTTGAATGTATGTTTGTACTCCTTCAGGGAGCAAAATTAGTTTTAAGAAGCAGATCCAAACACCTCCTCAAAAACATTATAGGAATCATTGAGACTAATGAGAAATTCAAGAACATAATCTTTTTGTAAAAGTTCTTGATAGAGATCATTAATATTACAAGTACATTTACCACATTTACAGACCGGAATAGTCCTATAATTGCACAATTCATCCTAGATGGTTTTGAAAAAATTATAGAAAGCAGTGATAGATTGAGAACCTTGAGAAAAATTAGTCATAGATTTTTCAACTTGAAAAACATGAGGTCCATCACATTTACCATAACGAAGTTTTACCTCATCCCATACATTTTTCGTCAAAGTACAGAAAAGTAGTACGGATTTCAAGTGCAATAGAGTAAACAAGCCAAGACAAAAGGAGCGTGTTTACCTGATGCCAAGTAGATTAGAGAGACTCATCAGATAAAGGTTGTGGATATGATCTATCAAGAAACACCATTTTGTCTTTTACCATGAAAGCCATGACAACTGATTTCTGCCACACATTGTAGTTATCACAGGTAAATGTTTCGTAGATGATCAAATGGATGTAGGTAATATGGCGATGAAGGATCTTCTGTGAGGCTAGGGTTTTGAACAACCGAATCGCTATTTGGGCTAGCCATTTGAAAAACACAACGATTGGAAAGCAAAATAGAAAATGGAGATGAGCGGAAGTATTGATTAAATCTAAAGCTAAATTGATACCATGTAAACTTTCATAGAAATCGTATATTGAAGAAGAAGAAAAGTTTATTCGATATAGATAGAAAGAGGACAAGTATTCGATCGAAGAAATATCCAGAATGTGTATATTAGGTCTGAAGCATAAAATATATATCTAGTCTGAAGTACAAAAGTAATAAAAAGACTAATATTGCAGTTTAGTCCTTCAACTCTTTATTATTATTATTATTATTATTATTATTATTTTGAACTCCTTGGTAGTAATGACTCCTAAAACCTGTTTACTTTTGTGTTAAGTATCCTGCAGCTAGCTTAGTAAGGTATACGAAGTAAACGTTTTTTACGACTAATTCCATGATTAGTAAGCAGCAAAGCCTCTTAAAGCACCACTTACTACCCCCCCCCCCCCCATGTATTATTCAATCGTGAAGTTAAGCCTTTTTTATTAACCAGTGTGTCCCTTTTTTTTTTCAATATAAGTTTTTTATTTACATCCACACCACATCTAATCCTGAGTCCTGACATTTCTCATAAGCGTAGAACATCATCCCCAAACCGCCGATCTTTCTCCAATCGACATTGAAAATAGGCATGGCTGCAATTAAAATGGAGGAATCAGACTATTGATCACCACAACAAACAAATCGTGATTTGCAAACATATGGTCAAATTAACAGCAACTATTGGGGAACAAAAACACAGATAGAAGCGAGACAAATAATAGAAGAAGAAAGTACATACTCAGAGGGCCAGATATGGTCAACACTTGTGACTTGCCAGATTGTGTTCTTCGATGGAGATAAGAACGGTTGGTCTGCCTCTCACCCGTAGAGCAGAAGCGACGAAATATAATGAAACCGTTTTAAGGTTATTTTTGTCATTGTAAATATATATATAACCTCTTTTAAACCTAATGAAGTAAACATAAATTTAATAAAAGAGGAAAAAGTCAGTTCAGTACATGAAGTTGCACCGTGTGGAGTAAAGAGTACATCATATTGCAAATAAAACACAATGGTATATATAATCACATGTTTAGTGTTAAACTAGTACAAAAATGAACGCACCGTTAAAAAATGCTAACGTGGCAATTAAGATCCGTTTTCTTCGTCCAGGTGGAGGCTGACTCAACATCCTCCCATTCTCTCTCTTTTGAGATTGTTGCAAAAGACCAGGGGTAACCAGGCCTCGTGCGTATGAAGTAATCCCTAGCGGCTACCTTTGGCTTGTGTCTCTGGTGGAGAGGAGCGTGACCCCCAATATTGCGGCTGCTTGTGCTGTGAGTGAAGCACTCTAGCGGCCCTTAATGGTGGAGCCGGGAAAAAATCAGAGACTCCCTTCGGACCTAGCCTCTGGGTTGCACATATGAAGTTCTCAGCCCATTTCATCGCTCCTGCTGCGGCGGAGACCCTCCAGAGCCGGTGGCAAGATTCTGAAGCAGCTGGCGAGCTTTACCTGATGGCGCACGACGGAGCCCTGAACAACAACGACCTAGATGACGACGAAGCGTGGCTCGGACTTGGAGGAACGAAATAAGAGCGGTGGTGTCGCGACGGAGGTCAAGGAGCTTTGTTGGCCGTTGTCGAGTGGTTGAGCTAGCCGCGAGAAGCACACAGAAGGTGGCGGAGCTCGACCAGGTCCTCACTCTAGCACAAGATGTGGTTGTTTGCACCCTTGTAGCACGATATCTGTTTTTTGCACCAATCCTAATTTTTGGATGATTTTTTACGGATGACATGGCTTTTTTGTGACATCTCACAGTCTGTTTGCCAAGTCAGCAATGTTAACCTTAAAATATAACAGATGTACTGCTTCAACACCAAACAACCGAGTACAAGCACCTTTACGTTTGAGTTGCAAATTGATGTACTCTTTACTCCACTCCTCTCAACTTCATGTACTTAATTGACCATTTTCTCTTTAATAAACACTTTTTAGTAAGCACTGATTTAGTAAGACATGGTCTAATAAGTACTACATTCGTCCAATTGAAAGGTTTTTATGGCAAAACGACACGGTTATTTAGATAATTTTTAAATAAGGTAATTCGAGTATATTTTGAGAAATAATTTTAATAGGTATATAATATAATGGGGTTAACATCGACAACTGTGATGTCATAAATGTATCATTATTAATATTTAATGATTAAATTATCATTTAAGATTGTATATAGTCCTAAAATAGAAATGAGAACCTTTATATGGAACGTCCAAAAAGGAAAGTGTGAACCTTTGTATGAGACGAATGGAGTAACATTTATTAAGCAACGAAGTAAACATGTCCCCATTTTAAAAAGAAAAATTAGTACTCCGTAATTGGTAATTTGGAAAGAAAAACAAACCGGTGGACGTAGCTCAACTGGTAGCGAGAGAGTGCCGCAAGGGTTAGATCTCGGGTTCGAATCCCGGCAACTGCGGTAAGAGGTTACTATGCTGAAAAATGCATAGGGCCTCTGTAAGTACTGGGGACGGAGCCCTACTCTCTATCTGTCAGGTTGTGATTATAGTCCAACTTACATCCTCCCATCGTGCTGTCCGGTCGGTGTTTGGGGGCCCTCAGGGATGGGGTGTCATCTTTTTTTTGGTAAATTCTATGGTACTCATAAGGTACTGTACCTTTGTTCACACGAACCAATCAGAATCACGCAGTTAAATTATTTAAATCTAAATTAAAATGGATTTAATGATTTGGACCAATCAAATGCATGGTGGGTACAGTATCCCATTTTTTAAATGGGTACCAGAGTTGTCACCTTTTTTTGGGAAAGAAAAACATGTCCCATCAGAATACCGTAGGTAATTTTTACACAACATTAGAATTAGATACGCACTGAAAAGTGAAAAAACTGAAAACAAGTGAAAGATTTAGGAGGATGATTTCTCTTAGCTCAATCAAAAGCCCTCAAATTGGTGCGCTCTTCTTCTTCCCCTCCCCTTCCACAAATCTCCATTCCAAATCCATTCTCAAAAGCCAATACTCAACTCCCCCACTGTTTAATCTGAGTGCAAACTGTCCTCTTTCCCTTTCTCCTCGAATACATCGCCGCCTTACTGCCATGGCCGCTGAGCATTCCCAGTTGAACGTCGCTGCTTCCCCTGTGCCTAATTCTTCAATGAAGCTTCTTTTTGTTGAAATGGGCGTTGGTTACGATCAACATGGGTATCTTTCTCCCTCTTGCTCTATATTTTTTATGTATATCAGCAGAATTTGAATGCAAAATGGATACAAATTAGTTGTGAAACAGGCAAGACATCACATCAGCTGCTATGCGGGCTTGTCGTGATGCAATTTCTTCTAATTCAATCCCGGCCTTTAGGAGAGGTAGGCGTTTTTCTTTACCTTCTTTAATTAGTACTATTCCGTTAAATAATAAGTACTCCGTATTAAGTAATAACCCAAAAATTTACCCTTTGGTGGCTTTTGTATCTGCGCTTAATAATAAATCAATGTTGGGAGGTTGGTAACATGTGTATTGCAGTATACTTTTGTACTAACATAGTAACATGGGTCAGATAAAAGTTTTGTGCCTGCATTTTGCATTACTCTTAAGAAATTCCAAATCTTTTGACTTCGGGTCCGTTTGGATGGAGGCTTTTAGAGATAGCAAGACTTTGGAGGGATTAGTCTATTTCTTTTTAAACTGTATGTTTCATAAAATGAATAAAAAGTGATTGAAATAGCTGTATAATCACATACTGTGTTGATCTTTTAATATTTGTAAATTCTCAAATATATATGTCATGAACTCACATTGAGACTAAACCTCCATCAAACAGGCCCTTGAGCTTAATACTATATTTTGCATTTGTACAATTAACCATTTGGTTTGTTTGGGAAAGTGGGGAGCAAACAAAGAGACACTCTGGTTTATTTCCTTCTTTCTCTATTTTATTGCCAAAAGAAATGTAAAGATATATTTGGTGCCTCCATTTTTTAGCTTGCAAACATCCTATTTTGCATTCTTTTAAAATTGTCTTAATGAAATGCAAAAAAACAATCTCCATTGCTAATGTTAGCCCTCCATGAAACTTTTGATAATTGACTTTGAAGTTTGATTATTCCCACCATTCGACTGTTGTGATAGAGACTATTAGTACCCGTCTTTGAAGTTTTCCTTATATAGTCATTCGAGTTTTATAGAAGTGAAACTTCTAGTTCTACTATGATTTCGGCACTATAAGTGAAGGATAAAAATGTCTCCTGTTGGCTGTAACTATGATAATAGTTGAAGGACCAAAAGTGTCTCTTTTGCAATAGTTAGAGGACTAAATGAGGAAAAATTCATAGTCAACGACCAAAAATTACTCTCTCACACTAGTCGGAGAACTATTAGTGGCAAAAACTCTGGCTAAATATTTTTTAAGGTTGGTACAGTTTGCAAATTGAAACTCTAGTTGTCAAAGTTTGTCTTTGTTGAAGAATGGGGACATAACTAGTTGTTGAAGCAGGATCTGTACCTGGTGTTACATTCGATGAGATGAAGCTTGAGATTAAGTTGGGTGTTCCACGGTCTCTCCAACAATTGCTAGATATTGACAAGGTCAAATCAGTCTTTCCATAGTAAGTAAATATTGTAACCATACCTGGCTTAAGTGCTTTACAAACATAGTTTTCTCAAGTAATAAGTGTGAACGATACGGGCATTTATGTTTCCTTTCATCTGTAGACCATATACATAATAATCCTCACCAAAATTAACAGATATCGACAGAAAATAAAAGTAATACTGAAGTTGATATTACTTAATAATGCTTGGTGAATTTTTGCTTATTAGTAAATTCTGAACGGCCTTCTATGGGCCCTCATCTTGGGGAGACGCTAGAACGTGTAGTTGTGTGACCGAGAGGTCACGGGTTCATGTCTTGGGAACGGCCTCTTGTCAAAAATAGCCAAAGAAAGGCTTGCTCCTGTAAACTTGTTGTGGGACCCTTCTATGGGCCCTCATCTTGATGAGATGCCAGTGTGCACCATGCGGCACTTTTTTTAGCTAGTTTCAAAATGCAAAATGACGTAAAAGATATGCTTACTATAAATTTAAAATAACAATAGACTGATTAAATGAGTTTGAACTTATCAAATAAGTTCACGACCAAAAACGTCTTAGTCGAAAAGCCTTTTATTAAAAAAACAGTAGCCAACATATAAGCTATCTTCAGGCACACTTGCATAGCCATAGTGTTTGTTGAGTATTAGCTATCAAGCTAGTTTGATTTACATAGACACCTAAAAAACATAGGTTTAAATTTAAATCTAAAATAAAAACTGGGTTAAATGAAAAACGTTCATGTAAATAAGAGCTTATGAGTATAAGTTCATACTTATCAAATATGTTGTTGAACCAACATAGCTTAGTTATATAGCTTTCTTAATAAATAATAAGAGCTTATAACTATCTTATAAGCTTATTTGTGGAGCGGCGAACATAATTATGGTATTTTTCTGTGTGAAGGACATATCTTCTAATCATCAAATCTTGAACTTCTAAAGTTATAATTGTGCGATGTTTGTTTTTATGACTTCAAATAGCGGCAAAATAATGAACATTGAGGTTGTTGATGGTGGACTGATATGTTCAAGTGGTGTACACGTTGAAGAGATGGGAGATAAGAATGATGACTGTTATATAGTAAATGCAGCGGTTTATGTTGGTTACTGATCTCTTACACTGTACATATAGGTTAGTTCTGCTATTCCTTCTTGTTCACTATGTGTCATCTTCATATGAAATGAAATTAAATACCTGTCATTTCTGTTTTCTTTTGTTTTTTCTTTGGGACGCACCTATTAATCGAATATTGCATTTTAGGAATTTGGACTCAAACTCCTAATGTTTATACTGGAAAGTGGAAATATGGTAAAAGATCTAGCTATCAATTGTGTTAGACTAAAGCACTTATTTTTTAAATATATAATTGTGTTGAAGGATCTAAGAATAGGAAACTAATAATAAATTAATTACGGAAATACTAATAATCCAAGGTTAGTCGTTGTCTTCCAATAGAGAAATTTGGGATTTTTTTAACTTAGTCAATTGAGATTTGTTAGACTAACACATTGACAAATTAAAGAGTGGAAATTTAATTAGCAAGACTTGGTTGAACTAACTAAAAGATTGGATTCAATCATTTGGTATGGTTCGACACCCGTGTCTTATAGCCCACCAATTCAATCATAAGGCCTGCTTAATGTATCAACGTGTGACGTTTTGTTCAAGGTGCCAACCTTCAACCCAAGCTCCACCTTGGACGTTTAGTGGAAGGTCTGAATATAAAGTTGCCCATCTAACTCATTTAAAATGCACAACCATTTTCATGTGGGCTTGGGCTTATGCTTGGCCCTAACCAGCAATATCATACTAATTTGGTGTGAATGTGAGACCTGTGGTCCAAATACACCTTTGGACTCATCATGTATGATTGACTTTCTCTCTGACTTTTTTGCTTGCCTAGTGTGGCATCTCATCTTTATCCATGATGGTTTGGTGAATCCTCTCCCTATTTAGTAATGAAACTTTGCCCGTTTCTTGTTAAAGTGCTGCGTATATTAGGTTCTTTTCCAGGCCTACATAAGTTGGTTTTGCTGATTATTTTGAAGATGTTGATTGATTCAGTGTGAGAAAATAGCAAGAATCTCATGTGTGGGCATAATGAAGTATTGGAAAATGGAACATCTTTCATTCTTTTGATTATGTTCATATATGGCTTGTGCTACACCAATGATGAAACTATAGTCAAACACTTGATTAAAAAAAATCAAATAACCAATGCTGCCGTTGGAAATATTGAACCCTTTACTTTGCATTGATTGAATATATCAGTTTAATTTGAGGCTGGCAGATGGTATTTTTGAGTGACTTTTGTATTTGCCACTGTTTATAATTCTGGACAGTTCAAACAATTACACATAAGAATGTCATTTGGAATGTTAAAAGGAAAAAATACAGTTCCCCTAGCATTTTTGATAGTAGTTAGTTTACATCTGAACATGCCACGTGATTTTTACAGAATGATGAATGATCCACAAAAATGAAAAATAAAAACAAGAGCTAATAAATAGGAGGAAGAGAAGGAGAATAATGTGTACTAAAAAAATCTTCACCGGGATAGTAGAGAAGCATAAAGAAGGTGGTTCCAAGTATCAGGGAGTCCAGGAAGGCACCAATGGCTGCAATCCAGTCCTGGGTGTTTTCCGCTGAAATAGGAAGGGTGTGCGTCTGGCCTTAATTGTGATAGAAGAGTGATATCGAGCAGATAAATGGGATTTGGGATTCCTGCCAACACATTGTTCACCACAATTGCAGGTTGGGGTGCTGCGGCTGGATACGTTGATCCTTGTACTGGCACTTCCTCGCCACTGCAGGTCTTGTTTGCTTTCGAACCCCACTCACTACCCCTGTTTATTTACAGGAATTAATGATATGGATTATGGATGATAACAATGCTCGTATGTGTAGGACTGTAGGTAACTGAAGCTCATGTCTGTTTTTGTGTGTATTGTATGTTACATCATTGACTCTTTTACACGTCTGGATCACTACCTAGGGGCAGAACAGGTGGTTCTGGGTCTGTCAAGGGCCGAACCCACGTCATGAAAATGGGTTTAGTCTGATTTCAATTCATGGTTGGTCCCGGGCCCTGGCATGTACTAGATTCCTCAGCCTATTTAAGAAAGAATGAGGCCTGAATCAGAACCACAACGGGCTGATTTTGGAATAAGTGGAATCAAAACTGGCTTAAACTAGTTTCAGTCTGTAATCTCTAAACCGGTTGCCATTTTGGTTTTTTTACCTGTCTGGCCCCACATAATCCTACTCATGTGTTCATAGGATTTTTCACTAGGAGCTGATTCAGTTTTAAATCAGATTTAAACAGATCACACCTAATCAATTTAGACATGTCCACCAAATTAGATCAAACCATTTCGAGTAAAAATATTCTTATTCGCATGCGTGTTTAAATCAAATTATACGTGTTTAATATAATGTATTAGAGGTTATAATTTATAAAGCAGTGGTGGACTCGGGCCGGGCCTAGGCCCGACCGGGCCGCCGGTTAGGAAATGTTGGGCCCGGGACCGGCCCGGGTAGCCACCGGGTCCGGGCCTCGGGCCTCTTGCATTTTTTTTCCCTTTTTCTAACTACCCCCTGACCCCCCTAACCCCCCAAACCACCCCAAATGGCCCAAAATACCCAGCCCAACCCGAGGATTTAAAAAAAAGTTGAAAAAAAAAACCGGAACCAGGCCCGGACCGGCCAGGCTGGTTCATATTTTGGGTGACCCGAGCCTGGACCAGAAACCCCTCGGGTCAGGCCTACCCGGACCGGTCACTGGCCGGGCACTGGTTCGGGCCGGGTCGGAACAGTGCTGGCCGGGCCGGTTCCGGGTCGGGCCACCCGGCCTGAGTCCACCACTATTATAAAGTAATTATCGTCTAACTTTTAGTAGTTACTAAAATGTTTGTTGATCAAATACCATCTCCGATTTATGCTCTGTTCAAAAAGTGTATTGAAAAAACATAAACACGGAAAATTATTTACTAAAGGTTCAAATAAGCCCTTGAACTTACTTTAAGTGTTCAATTAGCCCCTTATATAGGAGGTTCTGCCCGGCCGTCGCTAATTGGGGCAGTTTCCGGTGGAATTTTTTGATGAGATTTTTTGAGAATCTTCTTCATTAAGTCTAGTTTACTCATACCAAATTTCAGCTAAAAATTCAACCGGGAAGGCAGTCAAATGATTTTCCGAAATGTACTGCGCGGTTTAACTTCGCAGTTATCTTCAAAAAATCATTTGACTACCTTCTCGGTTGAATATTTAGCTGAAATTTGGTATGAGTAAACTAGACTTAATGAAGAAGATTCTCAAAAAAATTCATCATAAAATTCCACCGGGAACCTCCCCAATTGGCGACGGCCGGGCAGAACCTCCTATATAAGGGGCTAATTGAACACTTTAAGTCAGTTCAGGGGCCTATTTGGTCCTTTAGTCAAAATTATTCATATAAAATGGTGTGGAAGAAGTACTTCCTATTTGATACTTCATAAGTTGGTAATACGAAACTACGAATTAGGATTGATTATTGGAAGTTTAAGTGCTTACAGATAATGAGAAGGAGAAATTCCTTGGAAGAAGACTTTGGTCTTGTCAGGTTTGACATTGTCAACGACCCAGTTTCTCCAAGTTGTGAATGCTTTCTCGAATGCTTTCAAACGGTCCATATCTGGCACCATATGTGTAGAATCTACTTGTATAAAATCCCATCTGTCAAACCCACCAAAGAAAAACCAATCATTTTTACATAATGAACCAATGAACATTGTAACGCTTACCATATTTGATTCTGCATAATAATTGTGATCTAATCAAAATAGTAATGATGAAATTATCTTCTTGATTGAGTTTATTAAATTCCTAAACAATAATGTTTTGGGTTGATTTTTTTAATTGACTTTTACTATTTAACATAGTCAAACAACTATTTTCAAACTTAGATAAACTGTCTTTTTATAATTTTTTATGCGAAAAACTAATATTGAAAAAGTTGATGGATTTTAATAGCTTTTTCATAACATCTTTTTATTATGCAATAAAAGTAGCCCCTTTTTTAATGTTCAAACGTTTCCCTATATTTTTACTTCTTTGGATGGTTATTAAATATTTTTTTTAAAAATCAAGACTTCGGGTAAATTAAACATAACAGTAACACTGTAATCGAACAATAAAAATAGCATTATGGATGGTGTCGTTTTTTATAATCTTATTCCCTAAAGTAGTAAAAACATAGTACGTAATATAATATCACAATGATACGAAAAGTAAATGAATATGGGTGTGTTAAAATAATTGTAAATGTATTTCTATTTTCGAAACACGTATAAAAAAGCGTATAAACATAATATTTGACTTTAGTCTATTTCTACTATAAATCTAACTTATTATTTAATATTTTTCATAGAATATTATTCAATTCCCTTTTATCTGTTATTTGTAATCAATATTTTATTTATATTCTCTTTTGTTCGTTATAATAGAGGTTAGTAATACTACCTTAATTATTAATACAAAATATATGATCATTATTTTAAAGTAGCCAATATTTATAAATTATAATTTGAACGGGTGATATACTAATTTGTATACAAGATATATGTTTATAAAACCATATTTATGTATATTCAAATAAAAGTTAGTACTAATATTTACATATCTTTTTATATACTAATCCAGTATCTTATCCATGCCAATCAAATTATACTACGTATGAGATATCATATCGATTTATAAGTTAAAAATTATTCTTATACTTTGTATTAATATTTAATGTAGTATTACTAAAACCAAAATGGAACTAAAATAAATACATACAAGTATTTATTACTAATGTAAAGATTATGGACAAAAATGCAACCTCTTATATATAGGGACTAAGTTAGTTAGTTTCAGTCATTATAATCATGTCCAGTTTTATCCTATATTGATCATGATATTACATGAATTGTTATTTTAGTTACATTTTTTATAATTTTAATTATAATATTTTTTTTAGAAAATACCTCATTTGAATATAAATAAAATATTGATGAGAAATAAAAGATAAAAGAGAATTTGTTGAGTTTGTTCAAATATTTTTAAAAAATCTTATAAAAATATTGGCTATTAAATTTAATTTATAGAAGAAATAAGTTTAAGGACAAAGAATATTATGAATGCATATATATGTATATATATATATATATATATATATATATATATATATATATATATATATATATATATATATATATATATATATATATATATATTCTTTCTTATATTCAAATTAAAAAAAAAACATAAAGAAAAATTATCATAGATAACTCCAGGTTTATTTTTGTTAAACAATTATTTAGTTCGACTTTGTAGTGAACTTTTCTTGTAGAGATTATTTTTGTTAAGCATAAATGTAAGGACTAAGGATTATTTATGTCAATTTCATTTTAATAAAATATATTTAAATATTCTATTTTTAAATTTGATGTGTCCAGCCACACTTTAAAAATGCAAGTAGATTCAACTGGTTTTGCATTATCAAATGAACTCCTGATGAATATAATAGGGAGGATCCATAAAAACAATTCGGAATTGAAATAGGAAGGAAAGGGGATCTGACGGTTGAGACGTTCCGGTGTGAGTCCACCAGTGCCAAGTGTTGAAGATCAGCACGTCCATTGTTTTCCAAAGTGCAGCACCGTCTTGGTCAATGGACTCCAATTTCAAGACCCTGCCTTTCTTTTCACGTACTATATCCACCAAGTTAGTTGAGTGATAGAGATATAATGTCACTCCATAATCCTGCAAGATGATATATGCACAAACACGATGTAAAAACCTCGCAAACTACTCGATTATAATTTAGTGTTGATTATACTACTCGGTTGTTTTAGCCTATTCTGCTAAAATTTATGAAATTCTAGTTGAAGTGGCTGCATTGGCTGATTATGCTGTTTTAGGAAAAAATTATTTTTAAAATATATTTTATTAATAAAACAAAGAAAACATTATATGTAAAATAGTTAAAATGGTCATCTACAGTAACTTCAGCCAATACAGCCAGAAAAGTGATGCTAACCTTAGTTTTTCGGCTTATAAGCCGAAAAACAGTGTTGCCAAATGACTCGATCTACGTAAGTGATATTAGGGTGTTAATGAAGTGATATTAATAGAATCAATTGAAATTGATGAAATTTTGACATTGATGATATTAGGGTGTTAATAAAGTACGGAGTAATATTTTTCAGAGGTGTGATATTATAAGGTGTACAAGATATAAATAATTAAATAGTCTAATATTCAAATGTAAATACTACGGAGTATCAACCAAAAAAGTGCAAGACATTTCTCATAAATGTCATGCATAGACGCCGTGTTGTTATGGAAGCATCACAATATTTTATTAACATATCCACAAAAACATAGACCCGATATGATTAATCACGGAAATGAGTTTCCCGAATGTTTTTAATTACAAAAATGACACATGACTCATAATGTAGAGCCCTTGATAACATTGAATTAATTGAATCAGTTGGAATTGATGAAATTTTGACTAAAACGACTGAATTCACTTTATTTGCATTGCTAATTGTGAAAAGATTATATTCAAAATATATTTTATTGATAAATTAATGAAAAAAATATTTGAAAAACAGCAAAAATAATTAATCTACTAGAATAAATGTAGTCAATTTAGCTAAAAAAAAGTAACATCAACCATATTTATTTTGATTATTTAAATTTTTTGTGCTTGTAATAAAAAAATGTGTATTTGATGTTAAAGTTGATAAAACTTGAAAAGTTAGCAAGCGATGAGCTTATGAGGTTTTTAAATTTATACGTTTTGACGTTTAAAAAGCCGGGCTTAATGCACCAAACCCCCTGTGATTTGGAAATTCGGCGCATTAGCCCCCTATGATTTTAAAAATGCGTCAAACCCCCTTGTGTTTTAATTAATCATGCACAAAATCCCCTTTATGAATAAATTTAACGATTTGAAAATCACTTTTCCTAATATTTTGATTGAATATGCAAATAAATATGTCAAAATCTATGAATCATACAAAAATGTTAATCATTTTTCTTTTATTTGACAATTGAATTTGTTCACATAAGGGATTTGGCGCATGATTAATTAAAACGCAAGGGGGTTTGACGCATTTTTTATATCACAGGGGGCTAATGCGCCGAATTTCCAAATCACAGGGGGGTTTGGTGCCTTAAACCCATATTTATGGTACCATATTTCGGTGCTCACTTCTTGCCACAATATATTTTACTTCCTATAATATATTCTATGGTACCCCAAATGTACCATACATTTGTCTAAATGAACCAATAAGAATGATGCAGTTGAATTATTTAAATCTAAATTAAAAAGTATATAATGATTTGGACCAATCAAATACATGATAGATACAGTACCCCATTTTTTAAATGAGTACCGGAGTTGTCCAAATTTGCCAAAAAAACACCTCGTAGTCTCGTAGATAACCCGTAGTTTTTACTTTCAAAAAGCACCTAAAGTTCCGCGAGCTCCAAAGTCACCAATCATTCGTGAATGGGTTGCGTAAGAAACACCGGAATTTAGGTCGAACTCATATTTAGGGAGTGTTTACAATAGCTTAAAAAAAGGATTCCTCAGTTTTTGGCTTTAAAAAGCACTTATTTACCAAACACTTCCAATTTTTACTTTTTCTCGGCTTGCGTGTGAAAAGTGTTTTTCCCTTTTCTATTACACAAAAAGCACTTATTTTACCAAACACTATCAACTTTTACTTTTCAAAATCACTTTTTTCTCAAACACTATCAACTTTTACTATTAATCACTTTTTCATTACATCTCCAAAAGTGCTTTTTTTTAAGCAGAAGCAGTTGCAAACACTCCCTTAGGCTTTTTAAGGGTTTAAGGCACCAAACCCCCCTGTGATTTGGAAATTCGGCGCATTAGCCCCCTGTGATATAAAAAATGCGTCAAACCCCCTTGCGTTTTAATTAATCATGCGCCAAATCCCTTATGTGAACAAATTCAATTGTCAAATAAAAGAAAAATGATTAACATTTTTGTATGATTCATAGATTTTGACATATTTATTTGCATATTCAATCAAAATATTAGGAAAAGTGATTTTCAAATCGTTAAATTTATTCATAAAGGGGATTCTGTGCATGATTAATTAAAACACAAGGGGGTTTGACGCATTTTTAAAATCATAGGGGGCTAATGCGCCGAATTTCCAAATCACAGGGGGTTTGGTGCATTAAGCCCCCATAAATATATTGAATACCATTTTATGTGTGTCCCAATCTAATTTAAACTGAAAAAATTCTAAAAATAGGAGTAAAAAGTTTGACTGTAACTATTGTTATTTAGAAAATAAAAGTATGATCATCCTATTTTGAAACATGCAAAAAGTTTTTAATACTCCCTCCGTCCCAATATAAAAGGCACATTTGCGTTTCCACACATTTTTAGGGTGAACACTGTTTGAACACTGTTTGGCACTGTTTAGACACTGTTTTGCACTGTTTGGACACTGTTTGGCACCGTTTTGTTTGCCAAAAAGGGAAATGTGCCTTTTATATTGGGACGGCCCGAAAAGGAAAGTGTGCCTTTTATATTGGGACGGAGGGAGTATCATTTAGGGAATCATACAAAACAACGGATGCAAGTCGTTTACAACTCTGAGGACATGCACACTCATTGTACTAGGGCATATCTACAACGCTGTCAACGCCTGGTATCCAAAAAAAGGATGACACTCCATCCCTGAGGGGCCCCCAACACCGAGCGAACGACACGATGGGAGGATAACGCCTAGTATCCAGCACTTATAGCTAGGGGTGGATCATGTCCGCTGTCTCCACCAGGCCAGAATTGGGCCTGTTTGGGACTGGACGGGCCCTGGTTTTCTGGTTCGGTCATCTCGGGCTGGGCCAGTTTCCAATGTTCAATTTGTTTTTTTGGTTTTTAAATTTTTTGCTCGAAACCGGAACCAAGACTGGACGAGTCGGTCTATCCAACCTGAAATGGAACCCCTTCAGTCCTTCACACCGGGTCAGTCCCGGGTACCCAAAGTATTTGGCAAAGACCGGATAGTTCAGCCCTTAATCAGGATCGGGTGCATGCCTACTTAGGTTGTTTTTACTTGCACTGTTTTTAGTCCCAGACCAGACCAGACCAGACCAGACTTAAACAGATCACATCAGACCAGACCAAATCAAACTTGACTTTGGTAGTGATAAAATACACAGAGACCAAACATTTACCAGACCAGACCAGACTAGACCAATTAGACCGGACCAGACTTAAAAACATCCATATACTCACCCGTAGGACTACTAGATCGGGAGCATCTAATAGCATTGCTCCCCTAGCTTTCCTTTCTTAAAGTCTAAGAATTTACCATCAATTCATTTAGTATTATCTTTTTTCAAAGGCAGTTTATCACGTTTATATTCGTAGTTCAAACTTCAAAGGTTGCGTTAATCCTAACAAGGAAAATTTACTAAAAGCTCAAATAAAATTAATCGTATTTCTTTTTAATGCACATAAACAAACATATGAGAATAATTGATATGAATACGGATTATTACATTTAAAAGATTAACATAAAATATGCAGTATTTTACCTAATTAAAGTAAAGAATATTTTGAAACATAAATTTGAACGGAAGCTACTAATAGTTTGGAAGTATTCATATATTGGCACTTTTTTTGGTCGTCCTCCCACTTCTTGGCTTTATCAGAGGAATCATTATGGAGTTTTTTCCCGGGGAGGGATATTTTCTAATCTTTTTTCCCAAAATAGGGTAGTTTCAAACTTATTTCCCAAATAAGGGTATTTTGTCCATGTCATCGTGCCATGTCAGCACATGGCCTTAAATTCCCATTTCCATGTCTTTACACACCCATCATTGGTCCATGTCATCGCATACACCTTTCATATAAAATTATAAAAATTGAGAGTTTTTGGATTCGAACCTACACCCATTCATCGTAATTACAAACACACACCATTACACTACTGCTACAAGTTGATATATTTCGTATTTTTATCCTATTTGTATTCATATTGTGGCATTGTATTCCTATTGTGCCAGTGACGTGTAACTAATAATGCACTAATAATGATAACAAGGGGAAAATGATTTAAATACTCTAAACTTTAACGAAGTGTAAGTTAAGTACCCCAAACTTGCATATGTAATATTCTGTATATACACCCGAATTTTATATAAAAAAATTGCTTTCACACCATGATTATATATATTTTTTACAAATACAAATTTATTTGGAATAGTTACAAAATTTAAAACAATTAGTTTTATTAGAATGTAGTTAACATTATAAAATTTCATTTGTGAAATAATAATAAATGTTGTAATGGTGCTAATATAATTAATTTATCAAGTTTGGAATATATTTATTACATGTGCAATTTTGGGATACTTATCTCACATCTCCTCAAAGTTTGGGTTATTTAAATTATTTACTCCTAATAATAATAATAAAATAATAGTTATTTATCCAATAGGATAGATATAATTAATATTAACTGTTATCTGAAAATTTCTAATCTTCATAAAAGTATTAAACTTTTCTAATATTTACTCATACATGATACTCATATTAACCGTTATATACTGTAAATATACGGAGTATAACACTTCATATATAGATAGAATTAATTCCAGTTTTGATCGTATGAGTTTTATGTCATTTCCACATTTGATTTACGTCTTTGACTTTGACCACTTTTGGTACATGCGTATTTGTTTTCACTCATACATGGTACTTCCGGCAACAATTCTGGTGGTTAAAATCGCCGGAGAAGGACAATAAATGGTCAAGAAACATTAGTCATGTACCGAAAGTGGACAAACTGAAAGACGTGAACTAAATGTTGAAATGACATAAAACTCGTAGGACCAAAAGTGGAAATAATTTTATATAGATAAGTGTCATATATATGATTACCCAACATAAAAATATGAGAAACTCACAAACAAAAATGTAAGAAAAGGTACTACATAATAATAACAATCAACTCTCACAAAATGTATCACATTAAATTAATAATAAAAGTCACCCAAAATCACTATAGCACCGCATCAACGTATGTTTTTATTATCTGTAAAAAAACGTATGTTTTAATTAAACATGCTCACAATACCAATCAAATCTATTTTAAAATTATGATGGTCACAAGATACACCTGCGGTGCATTGGTCTAGGGTGTTGAAGTTTAAATGCAGGCGAGGGTTCCAATCCTCAAGCCTGAACTTTTTTATCATTTTATATATTACGGAGTATATATGTATGCAATGACATGGATTATGATATGGCAGGTGAATGATGTGTGCTGACATGGCATGATGACCAGGACAAAATACCCTTATTTGGGAAATAAGTTTGAAACTACCCTACTTTGGGAAATAAGATTATAAAATACCCCTCTTCGAGAAAAAACTCAATCATTATGCCACTAATCATCATGCAATTCATACTAGCACTGAAATTACGGATTAGAATACTCTCCTAATTAAACAGAAAAGAAAACGAAAGAATGAGAGAGAAAACAAGCCACATGGATCACCACACAAATGCCTTGACACCTGTCAATGATTTGGCCCACCACACCACATAATTTGTTTCATTGTTGCATAATGTATACACTCCCTTCGTCCCAAAAAATACTTCACACTTTGACTTGACACGTTTATTAAGAAACTAAGAATGAAATAGAAATGTATGATTGTAGTTGAGTAAGAGAAAAGAAATTTAATATATTAGCCACATAAAACTTTCCAAAAAAGGAAATGAGAAGAATTTTTTGGGACATCCCAAAATGACAAGTGAGAAAAATTTTGTGGGAGGAAGTATTCAATTCTCATCCCTTTAAAAATTTCTAAGATTTTAAGCAATTGAACTCCAATTTTTTATATTGTCAAATGCCTATTTCATTGAGGACTAAACTAATAGGAAAATGGTTGAAGTATACATGTTTTATCTTTATAGTAGCAAGTAAAAATGCCGATTTCTCTTTATAGGAGTAAGTTATTTCTAAGAGAGATTACTCCCGAAGACTCTAATATGTGCACTTTGGATGATTTTTACTCCAAGGATAGACAGGGCAAAGTATGAAAAATTCTAGAAATAGGAGTAAAAACTTCTGACAATTCCAAAATAGGTTTATCATGTTTCTATTCTTTAAATAGGAGCTAGTAACTACCGTCAAACTCGAAAAACACTGCCATGTTAGACGTCACATGACACTAATTACTCCTGCTAATGGAATTAAGGATGACAATTCTATTTTAAAATAGAAACGTTGTTGTTGATATTTAAGGCAATTCCTTAACAAAGTACAGAATATAACTAAAGTATAAAGAGACATTAGAATATAAGAAAACTTACCAAAAAGGTTACATTGGGAGTGGGTGCGTCCCTGTGATAGGAGATATTGGCGGGTTGGGGTAGGGAGGAATGGAGCATGCAGGCCATGGACTGCCACATGTTAAGACTCAGTGAGTCGCCCACATACATTATCTTCTTCCACTTCCATCTTCTCAACAAATCCACACCATTAAACCTGCATTCCCATTTATATAACGGAATATTGAAACATTTCTCATCTGAGAAGCACGCAAATCCCAAACATCGGTAAATGCGAGAAACGTAATTTTTCATGGCTATATGCAGTCGATTTAGTCAATTTCAATATTATCAAACAAATTCTAAATCACAACACCGGGTAAAATGCATTAATGATACATTAATTGTTGATATTGTTGTGTTTTAATACTTTAACTCTTAAATGAATCAAATGAGTACCATAATTGTGCATAAATGTTCTAACTTGTAATTTTATTCAAATTTGTGACCAAAAATCCTACATGACAATCAAAACTTCATGTGTAGAGTCACCCTATAACGATGACAGGAAGGTGAAGTGGACTTTACGCATATAATTCTGATCGTCATGTACGATTTTTTGGTCACAAATTTGAATAAAAGTGCAAGTTGAAACATTTATGTATAACTATAATACTGATTTGATTCATTTAAGAGTTGAGGTACAAAAACTCAACAATACTAAAAGTAAGATATCATTTATGCATTTCGCCTCGTACCCAATCACAAGAAGCGAAGGATACTATACTTGGGAAAGTTGCAAGAACCGGCGGCAGGTTTCCAAGCATATGACAAGAACTTGGTATCATGGCGGCCATATCGAATGCAGTCGAATTGAGGGTCAATGAAGGGGCAGTTTGAAGATTTGTACAGAGGGTATGATGCGTCCTGCACCCATTGCCCTTCAAACAGGTTACATCCGCCGCCACCGCCACCGCCACCGCTGTTAACTGTAACTTTATGTGCTTCCGCCACCGCTCTCGTTTGAGCAGCAGCAGCTGCTACCAATTGCGCCACCGAAATGATTGTCATTATCATAACAAACAGGTTACTCATACTGACCTCTTTGTTCGGGCACAATTTATGCTAAAATGACTCTTTCATTGAAGATAATTGATGTGAAGGACTATGGAATGGCTTAGCTATAACTTCTGATCTATCCCGTCTTATATTCACATTTTCATCTCTAGTCTAACAAAAAAATGTTGACTTTTTCTAGCTAGTTGAATTCTACTAAGTTATAATTCTTCAATTATATCTTTTCTAGCTAGTTGAATTCTACTAAGTTATAATTCTTCAATTATATCTTTTTATCATTTTACTTTTTATAGATACATAATATAATACCGAGTACATAATACATACTACGTAGTATTTTCTTTTTTAATAAGGTTAAAGTTGTTATGTAACAAATGTTTTTGTAATGCAACTTCCTTTATGGGATGAACGGAGTTTTCTCCATTACATTTTCACCAAATAATTTTTTTATGCAACATTGAGTTATTTTATTACATTTAAGAAACAAAGCATGTATATGTATATGTATTCTAAACATTTTGGTTGAAAATTGATAAAGCTCGTGTGAAAACTTAAAAGTACCATTTTAATATTTTTCTAATAATTTCTATGTACTTTTCCAGCAAGGTCCATTAGCGGCGCCTAGGGTTCTCCTCATCGCATCGCAGCGGTGAAGGCCTAGGTTCCACGGCGGCTGCGGTCCTAGCACGTCTAGGTTTATCGGCGGGCGGCGCTATAGCTTTCTTGGCGCTTTAGTGTCCTAGATTTTGCTAGTTTTTTTCCTCATCTGGAGGAAGGGGTGGAACGCGGGTGCATTCGGGCTCGGAGAATATTGACGAATCTCAATTGAAGCACAGGGGAGATGACAGGGATTTGGAGATTGTTTGCGTTTGTACTGGCGGTGCTTGTGCGGTGTCTTGGCCAAGAGATGGAGGCGAATCATGTGCAAATCAAGGTGTTGAAGGAAGAAGATGAAGTGATGAAGATTCGCCCCCCTCCTGAATTGCCGCCATGCCGGAAAGGGGTGACTAGGGATCGGAACATCGCGCTAGAAGATTGGATTCAGCCGCTCAATAAGTTCATCGTGCTAAATTTCATTTTCCCCATTTTTAGACTTTTTACTATGAAATTTGTTGATGTCGGTTTGTTTTTTGTTTTTGCTTATGGTTGTAGGTTTTTTACGTTGACCGAGGGTTCGGCTAGATTTGATATTGTTGGTGGGGGACGGATCTATTTTTTCAGCAGTAGATGTATTAAGCCCGTCTGGTGGTTAGCAATTCATATTGCTCCTTTAGGGGTGGTCGTCTCTGTGTCTAATCGTAGGGCTAATAGTAGTAGTTGGAAAGCGAATTGTGTTGTCAGTTCTGGTCACTTTGAGATTGATGTAACGATCCTGATTCTAATGATATCAATATAGTCGTTTTCCTTTAAAAAAATGTACTTTTCCAGCAAAATATACTTAACCCAAATTTTCCTATACGGAGTATCAATATTCAGAGCCCGTTTGGTAACATTAAAATTGGCTGTATTGGCTGATTCTGCTGATTCATGAAAAAATTATATTTAAAAAATAATTTGTTATTAATAAATAAAATAAAAAATTATATGAAAAAATAGTTAAAATGATCCTCTAGCCAGAAACTTCAGCCAGAAAAGTAACTTCAACCTTACTTTTTCTGCTTATTACACAATTCAGCGCGCGAAATTAAAAGTTATGTATTTGATGAAAAAATTAAAAGTTATGTATTTGATGAAAAAGCTGGCTGATAAGCCCGAAATCAGAATCACCAAACGGGCTCTCATTTTCCGCATCCATTCATGTACAAGATTGCAGAGCCTTTTCCCATATAAACTTTGACCACGATGATTGGAACAGCTGGGTAGTCTTAATTTGTTAAGGAAAAAACTAATACTCCGTATTTAATTAAAAGATATAGACAAAAGAATCTTTTGATTCGTTCCAATCATTTCAGTCAAAAATGTTATAATGTTTGAGTTACTAGTTATTTTAGCTTAATAAAATATATTATATGATCTCGTAAGTCGTAATCACATTTGGACGATTTTCTAACGTTAAGCAAAATACCACATGCAATAGATGAGTGCTGTTCTACAACGATTATTTTAAGGAAAAATTGAAAATAATAATCCCAACTATTGCCGGTCCGTCGATAATAATCCCAACTATTGATTATTTTTGTATAATCCCAACTATATGGACCGTCCGCCAATAATGGTCCTTGACCAAATATTACCTCCTATAAAAAGTGAATTTTAAATAGAAATTAAGCGTAAAAATTACAAGTTGGGATTATTTATAGGGATTACTTGTTATATCTCTTCTCATCCACTTTAGAAACTACAACAATTTATTGATAGGGACCATTATTGGCGGAAGGTCCCTAAAGTTGGGATTATTCTGAAATAATCGATAGTTGGGATTATTATAGGCGGGCCGCCAATAGTTGGGATTATTACTATCTATTTTTTCTTATTTTAATTCTATCCAATTTATATGTACACACACATATTTGTGGGTGTTAGAAGTTCGAAAAATATTTTATACGATATTTGGTTCAAACTATTTTCTAAATTCACAGGAATATGTATTTTCTATAAGATGTGTTCATTAATATATAATGAACTTCAAATGGAGGGACTAGGGTTATATGATGTACTAATATTAACTACTGTAGTATTCTATCTGGGCAAACTCTATCCTAAATAGTTTAAGTAAATTGTACGGAGTATATATGTAAAAAGTATTAAATCTTTATAGGGAAAAGGTGCAAATAGGCCCATGTACTAACAAAAAAAAGTCAAATAAGCCCTTATTTAGGAGGCTCTGTCCGGCCGTCGCCATTTGGGGTGGTTCCCAGTGGAATTTTTTGATGAAATTTTTTTAGCATGGTATTCATTAAGTCTAGTTTACTCATACCAAATTTCAGCTAAAACTTCAATCGGGAAGGTATTCAAATGAATTCTTGAAAATAACTGCGCAGTTAGAAACGCAGTTATCTTAGCTGTATCATTTGAATGCCTTCCCGATTGAAGTTTTAGCTGAAATTTGGTATGATTAAACTAGACTTGATGAATAAGATGCTCAAAAATTTTCATCAAAAAATTCCACCGGGAACCACCCCAAATGACGACGGCCGGACAGAGCCTCCTAAATAAGGGCTTATTTGACCTTTTTTGTTAGTACATGGGCCTATTTGCACCTTTTCCCAATCTTTATATGTATGTATATATATAGAGAGAGAGGGAGTAGTGGACAATCAAATCGAAATCTATTTGGAGCCAAAAGAAGTGAAAAAATGTTGTCTTTTTTTTAAACTATCAAAATCAGAGGGGCAAATGTCGGGGAACATTTGCCGTTATTTTATTAAATAAGAATTAAGAACAAAAGGGAGGGGGGCTAGACCAATACCTCCCCTCAAAGGCATTCATCTGAAAATACATGATCGAAAAAACAAAACCGAGATTACATCTGAGAGGGACTATACCAAAACCTCTCAGAAAATAAACATCACAACAAAGAAAATTAATATCTGAAGTAGGGATAGCCAAGTAGATCTTACAGATAATAATTACGGGCCAACCCTGGAAGAGAATCCACTGAATGAAAATAATTAATCCGTTCCGTCACAATTTCTCGGCCTGCTAGCATATGGGCCGTCCAATTACCCTCTCTAAAGGTATGGCTAAAAGAAAGGATTCTTCTTGTTGTACCCACTGTTGTACCCACTTTTGTACCCACCATGTCTTCATAGACATATTTTTGTCTATGACCGGGATTCACAGACAAAAAGAAAACTCCTCACAGACATGGTGGGTACAAAAATGGGTACAATAGTGGGTAGAAACAGATTTTTCCTAAAAGAAATTCCTTTTTGGGATGCCTGAAATTGAACCGAACGAATTAGGCTATTCCACTTCCCATCTTCATCCCCACCAGACAGCTTCAACAAAACAACCATGGCATCACTCTCCACCTGAAAATCCTCATGCCCCTTCTCTATTGCCCATTCAGTCGCCCGTTTAATCACATGGAGCTCAGCTTCTTCACTGGATGTTGCTCGGATTCTGGAGTTTATTGCCCATACCAATTCACCTTTTCTGTTCCCTAAGATAGCTCCCCCTGCTACAAAACCAGGTATATACGCAGCATCTACATTGAGCTTGAATTCCTTTGTTGGCCTTTTCCATTTGATGAGCTTAAATCCTGAATTAGTGAATTTGAAATTATAATGAATCAGACCCTCCTCTCTGAGAAAATCATCAATTTTACTGCTTTTATATTTGTGAAGATTTGCTGACCAACATTGCGTATGATGTTTAATCTGATAAATGATCTGGTCTGATGTCAGTAGAGGTTCAGCACCCCAAATATAAGCAGCATAAGATTTCCATATGAACCAACATATAACCTTAGGCATAATATGTTTAAAACTATCAACCAAAGTCTTGGAGCCCGCTTCCAACCACCATTGAAAGAAAATATGTCTAAGAGTATATCCATCCCTGGGAACAGAAATTTGAAAGAGTGTCATAAAGTATCTCCAAATTCTTTGAAAAAATTGACACTGATAGAAGAGATGATTAGGAGTATCATAATATCCTTTACAAAAAGGACATATAGAAGGTCTCAGGACATACTGGATTCTCATTAAAGTATCAGAAATTGGTAAATAGTTGTTAAGAACTCTCCAACTGAACACTTTAATCTGCATAGGTTGATTATTATGCCATATGTGCTTATTTGAGAAAGTAGGCAGCTGAACCTCCCTAACTTCATTATAAGCAGATGCTAAGGTAAAAGTACCTTCTTTACCAGGATCATATCCCAAACTAGCAAACCATTCTCATTAATGTGGCAAAGATCCCCAACCTCTTGATCAATACTACAAATTCTTCTCCAAATAGGAGAATTTGTAATCTTTGGCTCCATATTAGCTCTGGGATATCTAGCTTTAAAGAATTTAGCCCAAAGGGAGTTATGGGTCTTCCATTTCCACCAAAGCTTCATAGAATAATATTTTTCAAGTGCAGCAAAGGATCTAATCCCCCAACCCCTTTCCTCAGTAGGATAGCATAGATTTGACCATTTGACCCAGTGAATTCTGTGATTATTATATGAAGAACCCCAAATAAATGCTGCCATTTTTTTCTTCAGAATATTAATCACTGACCTTGGAAGAGTATCTGCAGCCAGGATGTGAAGGGGAATGGAACTCAGTACATGCTTGACCAAGATAAGCCTTCCTCCTTGAGTTAAGTGTTTTTGCTTCCATGCAGTAAGCTAAGTCTATCATCAAACTGTTTTATAATGTGATGACAATAATGTATTCTATTTATTCCCTTATGCAGATTCACCCCCAAGTACTTCATAGGGAGTTCAGATTTGTTCATCTTCAAAAGATCCTGAATCACAGAAGCTCTGGATAAAGCTTGTTTGCCACATATGAAAGAACTTTTATGTAAGTTTACAGTTTGCCCATATGCAGCCTGATAATCTTTAATAAAATTATTAAATTTTTTTAAAGATCTTGTTCCTCCATTCAAAAAGATCAGAAGGTCATCAGCAAACCCCAAATGAGATATAGGAAAACCAACATTCCCAACCCAGTAGGCTTAATTTTTCCTTCCAACAATTTAGCCTTTAATCCTCTAGAGAAACCTTTAGAAGCTATAATAAACAAAAAAGGAGACAAAGGGTCTCCTTGTTTAACCCCCCTCTTGGTCTGAAAAAATCCTTGAGGAACCCCATTTATAAGGATGGAAAGAAAGGTAGCCTTCAAATGACCTTTAAGCATATCAACAAACTGTTTACCAAAACCAAATTTAGTGAGAATATCAAATAAATATTTCCAAGAAAGCTTATCAAAAGCTTTAGCCATATCCAGCTTAATAATCACATTAGAACCTCTGATTTTCTTATCAATGGCATGTATCATTTCTTGGGCAATCAAGACTTGATCTGCAATGTCCCTATTCTGCATGAATCCTGCTTGTTCTTCATATATGATTTTAGGCATGATTTTTAAAAGTATGGATGCAAGGACCTTTGTACAGACTTTACTGATGAAATTAGATAAGCATATAGGTCTGAAATCAGTAAAGGTACCAAGTCTATCAATCTTAGGGATAAGAACCACTAAAGAACTGGCCAAACCTCTAGGAGGTGGAACACCAATAAAGAACTCCTGCACAGCATTGACCACATCCTTACCAACTATAGACCAGCACTTTTTAAAGAATT